AACAACAACAAAAAAAAAAAGAAAAGAAAAGAAAAAAAGGTGGCCGCTCACGTTTCTTTTGTTCTCCGGTGCCGGCCTCCGGTACCCACTCACCGTTCTTGGTGCCCTGTTTCCCTAGTATCCAGGGCCCTGTGCATGCACTGTCTCTGCGCTGTGATCCAGATGGCTGGGGCTGGGTGTTCAGTAGTCCTGGGCTCCCTCTCCCTCCCTCTCAGACCTCTCTCCTTCCGCTGGGAGCTGGGGGGAGGGGCGCTCAGCACCCACCGGGCCGGGGTTTGTATCTTACCCCCTTCATGAGGTGCTGGGTTCTCACAGGTGTTTATGTGGTCTGGATGTTGTCTTGTGTCCTCTGGTCTTTATTCTAGGGAGAGTTGTCTTTGTTATATTTTCATAGATATATGTGGTTTTGGGAGGAGATTTCCACTGCTCTACTCATGCTGCCATCCTGGCTCTGACCCTCCACTAGTTTTGAAATAGAAGGATTTTTCATTTTCATGCAGTTAAAAATATTTTCTAATTGCCATTGTGATTTCTTCTTTGACTCATGGGTTACTTAGAAGTACATTGCTTAATTTTTAAATGGTTGGGAATTCTCTAGTTATCTTTTAATTACTGGCTTTTAGCTTAATTCTGCTAGGTTACATGATGTATTCATCAATCCTTGAAATGTTTTGGATTTGCTTTATGTGCCAGCATATGTTTAATTTTGCTAAGATTTCCACCTTCACTTGAAGAAAAATTTTATTGTGAAGTGCTCAGTTGTGGTTTATCTTGCTTGGAATTTATTGTGTGGCTTGATGACTTTGATGGTTTTGAAAAGCTCTCAGCCATTATCTTTTATACTGTTCTGCCCTATTTTCTCACCTCTCTCTAGTAACTATTCTAGGACATGTTAGACGTCTTCACGGCGTCCTATGTGTGTCTCTGCGTGTTTCCCATCATTTTGTCTCCCAACCTTCAGTTCTTCAGTTTTCTAGTTCACTAATTTCCTTCAGCTTTGTGGAATCAGCTATTTTAACTCATCGTTGCATTCTTAATTTCAGTTAGTCATTTTTATAGCTACCATTTCTGCCTAGAATCTCCATACTGTCATTTAAATCACAATAAATCGTCCCTCTAAAGTCTTGACCACTCCAGTATTTGAATCTTCTGTGCTCTGTCCACCTGGTTAGTGGTCAAATCTTATCTTACATGCCTGATTTTATGTGTTGTTTATCTGTCAGACAGTGAAAAACACAAAACAAAGTGGCACTAACTTGAAGCTCTGGGTGGTGGTGTCTTTCTCCAGAGAGGTTTCCCTTTTGCCTCTGGCAGGCAGCCAGGGAGGGAGCAGATTCCTCTGCCTACTTGGGACTGACACGGATTCTGAGTTGTCCGTTCTTCGGGGGGCTGGTTTATTTCTGATTGCCTTCTATCTTCTCGTGTAGCCTGTGTGATCCCAACCAGAGGTTTTGTTAGGACCCCTCCACTTTGGAAAGCTCTGATTCCGTTATTTGTGTCTTCAGCCCTGTGAGGCTGGGGACAGCTGCTCGCAGCCTCCCCACTGCAGCTTTCCCTTGTGGAAATGGCAGTCACCTGGGGGAAATGCAGACCTGAATGCAGGGTCATCTCTGGGCTTCTCTGTCTTGTCTCCACAGCATCTCAGTGCTTTAGCAGCTCTTTCACACTGCCATGCCTCCAAACAGATGTGCTCCTCATCTTCTTCAGCATTTGCTGCTTGCCCTCAGCAGGCGGTTGGTCTAGAACACTGTACGAGGCCTTTGCCACATTTAGTTGTAAAGTTCCCATTACCGGTGGAGCCTGTGACCTAAGGCAAGACGTACACTCACTGGCACTGACAGTTGTTGGATATTCTGTTGTAAGTAGTTACCAGCCCCCTATAGGTGTGTGATGTTTGAAAATGTAAGTTCTCAGAAGCAGGTGTCAGGAAGCAGAGACTATATATGAACCTTCTTTACCCGATGCCTCATTGGAAGAACGGGCGGTGAATACTGAATACAGTGCGATCAGCCCAGATGGCAGCCCTCATGTTTGGAGTGAGTGGTAGCATAGCTACTTGACTTAATTTAATTTTTCCAGAGGAACACTGGTAAACACCCAAATCTAAGCTGTGCAAATTAGAAGTTCTAGCTTTGCCATTGTAAATCATTACCAGCATTAAACTGGTACTGATTATGTAAATTAGTACCAGCATTAAACTGGTACTAATTATGTAACAGAGAAAGTGAACAGTCCTCTGACCTCTCTGTGTGTGGCATTGGTGTCTCCATTTGTCTTAACAGGACATACTGTTTTCCAAAGCAGAAATATTTACAATGGCCTTAAATTGCCAAACCTCAAGCTTGCATTTCTAACTTCTTATCCCTTTATATATACCCCATAATTAAGGCAAACCAAAATGCCTCCTAAGAGCACCTAATACTGATACTTTCCTGCTTCCTTACCTTTCCTTGTTCTGTTCTCTGTCCGGAATGACGTGCCCGTCCCACTGCAAGCCTATATAAAGTTTGCCTTTCTTCAAGTGTAGTTTTTTTTTTTAAGCCAAATCATGAAGGACCATCTCAAATGCCACCTTCATCCACAGATTCCTCTAACTGCACTCTGCATAATCCTTTCTTAGGATCCTGTGCAGAGACTTTCTTTATCTTTGTTTGCTGTCATCATTTCGTGTCCTGTCCTCTTTTCCAGATTGTAAGTTTCTTGATGATGGAACCGTCATACTTCAAATTCTTTGTAGAGTCTGAAGGCATAGTATCCTTATGAAGTAGGAACTAGGCAAATAAAAATGGAATTCCAATGCAGAGCTAACTGCCAGAGACATAGGCTGTTTCTATGAGTTGCCTTGTTGTGTATTCCTTGTCCACTTCTCATTTGACACCTTCATTATATTCATATGGAATTGCGAGACTCCATTTTTACATGGTACGGATATTAATTCATCAGTTTAATGGAAAAGACCTGCCTTTTAATGTTGCTTATGGTTTTGTTTTTGTTTCGGGGTGTTTTGGTTTCCTATTTTATTTATAGTTTATGGAAACATTAGTATGGTTGAAAATTCAAATGGCACAAAGGGTGTATAGTAAAGTCTCTTTCCCATGTGACAATATTTTTATAGAGAAAGGTTCTTAGTTTTATGTAACAGTCTGTCAGCTTTCTGTCTTCTCTCTCTCGTACAGTCCCTCCCTACCCAACCTTATCTAACAGCTTGTCTGTTTTGTAGTCTTTTGTTTGTTACACTTCTAAATGTAAATCTTTTATCACGTCTGTGTTGTATGTGTATGCACAGTCTATGAGGTAGAGAGAAAACACTTTTCCCCTAATTGTTGAACTGGATTATCCTGAACCCTGGCTAGTCACGGATGGATGGCTGTATGGATAATTATCATGTGACAGTAAATACCATAGATATTGCAAAAGTCACAAGTGTCACAATAGCATATTTTTAAATTTTAATAAAATAAAACTGAAAATTTAATGAAAGCAAGACTAAACTAGCTTACTGGCTTATCTTCACTGGAAGAGTTTCTGAGTTTCCCTTTATCATGTCCATGGACTAATACGGCATGACCTTGTATGCATCAGAGCTCGCTCTCAGCCGCCACTGAGTATGACGTTCCACTCTCCAGGATATGCAGAAAGCACGCTCATTCCTCCGCCATTTATTAGCATTCCATTACTTTCTCTGACTTTATTCCCCATAGTTAATACTGGCAATTGACTCACTTTCCAGAAGCCCCTCTTCACAAAGAAATGTTTTTTAGTCACTTGGAAAGGAGACTTTATCTACAGTGATGGATTAGAGCCACAGAATTATGTTGAAGGTCAGCTCCTAAGTTATTACATAGGGCCAGTCACATGACTTGTGTTTGGCTTTTAGCTCTGGAAGAGAAGAGGTCCCAGTGCCTCATCCTTCTCCAGTCCCACCTCGTACCACCTGCAGACAGCAGAGAGGCCAGCAAGGAAAATGAGGTAATCGGTGATTTGCTGTGTGGATTAATGAGAGGGTAGGAAAGGAGGGGAATTCACTTGGCTCTTAGGCTTTCTGAGACTCTGATTTGGAGAATCAAAGTAGTTGACATCTCAAGGGCAGCGATGGTGCCACCCTGAATCACTCTCGTCTCTTGCAGTCATTACATACTGACCACACCGGCCTCTGCTCCCCCTCATCTTCAGCGTGAGGGGCTGGGGTGTAAGGGGAAGGGCCGCACGGGACAGAGTGAACAGAGTGACTGATGGGAGTGGGCAGCAGGCTTCACATTCTAGACCCCAGCTGACCCTCTAGGTGCCCGACTAGAATGCCGCTTTCTTAGAGATAGAGGTGTGACTAGAACTCTCGGAAATTTGGCAGGTTGTATGTAAGGTTCTGGAGATTGTTTTGTGCTTGTTTTAAGACAAAGGTGTCTCTGTGGCTTCTCTGAACTGCCTCCCTTCATTTCTTTAGGAATTTTCTTTGATTTATTTTATTTGTTGTCTTGACACACTGAGATCTTAGTCATGGTTGTTCTCGACTTTGGCTTGTTGGTAGTTAGGAGGGTATAAGAAGTTATCCAGTACTTTTCTAAACTTAGTTGTGCCTCTTCCTCCTACGGAGAAGAGGAGCTTCCTCCTAATTCTGGCTCCTCAGCTCCCCTGCTAAGAGACAAAGAGTGCCAGGGAGAACCGGGTAAGTTGATGAACATGTGGCATGTGTTGGTGGTAGTGTGTATGGAGGGCACATGGACTACAACCCACTGGAAACATGTACTAAGCCTTGATTTGTGTGGGGCCTGGTAGTTACAGAGATAGATGTTCCTGTCCTTCAGGCTTTACGGTCCGGTAAGGGAGAAAGGTGGCCCAGACTCATATAGCATAACCCAGGCCACCTGCGGGGTTCAGGGTAAGGTAAGCCTAGATGGGGGAATCTGAGCAGTCCAGGCAATTTCTCTCCAGTAAGCAACCATGTGCACCTCATGGCTTCTTGACTATTAGAAATAATCTTGCCAACACCATCCAAGAGTCCAACCATGGAAGATAGAATCTCAGAGACACCTAGTGAAAGTTCAGTATTAAAAACTAGGTAGGAAAGACAAACTTCTTCATTTCTGGAAGAGAGGAGGAAGAAAGTAAGTCTGATACTTTATTTGTAGGTACAACCACATCTGGGAAGCACAACTCCTGGGATTCTCCACCTATGCCCAGCAGCTCCTGGCCACACAGACGCAAGTTCCAACTGGTGCCCTCCAGGCGAGGGATCCCGCTGATCTTGGTATGGTCTGTCCACCCGCCCCTGCCCACCCCAGCGTGGCTCCCCTGAGTCTCAGGAATGGAAGGGTCGGTGCAGGTTTCTTTCACTTTCTTCTGACTGGCTCAGCTTCTCCTTTTTCTCTTGGTAGCCTCCAGCTCCCATGTTCAGCTACTCCATCACGACCAAAGATTTTGAGCGGGAGACGCAAGCTCAGTCACAGTGGCTGAAGAGCATCTTGGAGGATAAGACTGGTAAGGAATACGGGTTAATTTCATGCTCCAGAGATGGTTCCTTTAGGTTTTATTTTGGTCTTTCTCCACTGAGAAACCCACCTCTTGGATTCTCAGTGGACTCCGAGCACAGTGAGCACTGAGACTGAGAGGAAGCATTTCTACATGAGTTCCCCTGAGTCCCTGAGCCTCCCGTGCTCTGATACCCCTAGAAAGAATTCTCTTACCAGGGGGACAAGCCTTTCTTTCTTTCTTCCTGAGAAACTGCCTTGAACCCACATGGCCCTCCACCTTCTAATCTCATCCTGCCTGCTGCGGGGACTGCTGCTTCCTCAGCCTCCCTCCCAGCCCCAAGCACTAACCTGCTGCTGGGGAGCTTGGGGAAGTTGGCAAACTCCCTGGGCCTACCTTCTTTTCCAGGTGAGTGGGACAGCTTTCTGGGGAGCACACAGTGCCATCAGCCTCTGCTTAGGTGAAAGCAGCATGCCAGTCAGTCACTGAAATGGTTGAACCTGCTCTGGCTTAGCACACCTGAGCTGGTGCAGGCCTGACGGCTTCAGAACCCTCTCATCAGGAGCAGTTTGTAGGGTAGGACCTACCACCCTCAAAGGTGAAGAAGGCAGCCTTGTTTTGGTAGTCAGAAGTCTGTTGGCTTGCAACCCCCGTTCCTTAGCTGCTCTGAGTCATGCTTGGGTTCAGATGATTGGATTTTCCTTAGTGTCCACACATTTAACCCCTGCTAGGCCAAGTTTTATCACCTGTTGTCTGTCTTATGATCTGTGAAGGGTAGAAATAAAGAGCCCTTCCTTGATTTTGAGGAATGAATACTTTAAGAACCTGTGGTAGAGATGAGTCATATTTGCTGACACCTGAATCCCTGGCACAGCAAGTCTTCTAGAGCACCAATACCATCACATTTGAGATACCAGAATTCATGTTTTCTGTTCTTCCTAGAATCTGCTGCAGTGGCAATGTTGGGGGGGAGGCATTGTGTATTTTCCTCATCCTTGTCCCCACCGTGACAAGCAATTGAAAGGCAGAGACACAGTAGTGAAGCAGAGGAAAAGATTTATTTAAAGTTACTTAGACAAAAAGAGCAGGTGACTCAGAGAGAGAGCAGCACCCTGCAAGGTTCAAAAGAGAGAGTTTACAGTGAAAAGGTTACGCACTTAGAAAGTGCAGACAACCTCAGGGAGAGGAGCACCCTGAAAGGTTGGGAGTTCGTCCTTTTAAGAATTCTTCAGGAATGTGACCAAGGGCTGGGGGAGCAGACCTTTAGGTGGTCTTTGAATACTTAGAACTAACTTAGCACAAGGAACTTCCTCCTCTGATTTCTCCCTGGGATCCCGGCCGCGTTTCGTGGCCTGCGAGCATATCAAGACTGCCTGTCCAGCCCCCAAGGTGGGCTGAGTTATTGTCTGTTTGGTAAAGAGTAAGTTAAGAATCTTCTTTAATTCCTGGTTATTAAAACCCAATCTTATTTTTAAGATGGAATACTTCCTGCCTATTACTATGCTGTTTATGCTGGGCTTGCTTGCCATTATTAATTGCGCAGATTGCAAACTACTTGATTATGGCCAAAGGAGAAAAGAAACAGTATATAAGTAAAATTAAAAAAATAAGCTGGGCCAATAGAGCCTTGGGCTCTGCTGAGGTACCCTCCTTTCTCTGGGGAATATTCAAACATTCCAGGCCAAGGTGCCCCTGGCTTTTTGAGCTTTAACTGATTACTCTGGGTCTTTTTCAGTGCGCTTTTTCCTGACTTTATTCTCTTTCCATCCCACTCATATCTATTTTTCTGCCTAACAGGGTGCGGTCCCTTCCCCTCTGAGAAAGAACAGGATCAGAAGCACAAGAAAGATGTGACCTCACTGGCAGTCCAGCTCAGCAGTTTGCAGGTAGGCAGCAGAGCTCAGAGACTAGCCGTTTCTGGCAGAACTTTTCCCAAACCACAGGAAAGCCAGGTAAAAATACCTTCCTGGGCCTCCTGCCTCCCAAGGAACTCAGCCTGGGAAGTCCTGTTGAAGCACCCAGTGTTCTGTTGGCCTGGCCCTCCACAGCTTAGGGCTCACAGAGAAGCAGTCTCTGGTAGTAGCTGCCCTGATGAGGTCTTTTTCCATTGGTGCAGGATCAAGGACTCCAGGAGCCTGATGGAAAAAACAGGCATATAGATAACCACATTGGCAGGAAGTAGCCTACGTCCCTTGCCCCCACCTCAGGCCCCTTACCCGGATGTAAACTTTGGCAGGAAGCTGGCTGCAGCAGATTTCTGGCTTCAGCCTGCAGGGAGGAAGGGGCAGCTCTGGAGGCCACTGCCCTCTCCTGGAGGAAGCAGAGCCTCAGGCTTTTTCAGGAGGGGAGGCAGGATGTGGCAGAGCAGAGCCTGATTTATACCTTTCTTTACTTGAATGGTTCCACTGGTGAGGCTGGACAGAATCAAGAAACATCTGGACCACAAGGTGAAATGATGGTGGTGTGAGAGGTGAGACAGAGGCTTCCTCCTAAAACCACATACAATATGAAAATATAACTAATACAACTAATCCTGAAAGAGCAACCGGAAATGGGACTGTGCTAAACTGCATACACCTGGAGAAAAGAATAAATCTCACAGAACAGGGTAATGTACCAAAGCCATGGCCCAGCAGGATGCAGGCCCTTCCCCCGCCCCAGCTCTCCAGCAGGAGGAAGAGAAATAGAGCAGGGAAGGAGTGGAGGCCTGGGACTTCTGAACATCTAACTCCAGAGATCTGCTGTGGGAGCACAAACCTACATTTCATGGTGTTTTCATGGTAATCTTGTGATTAGGGGGTTGGAAAGCTAAGACAGGCAGAATTCCTGGAGAGACTGGGGTTCCAGCCACTTGTGGAAAGCAGGGATCCATATCCGGTAGCTCTGGGACAAAAGAAAGGTGGGCAGTCTGAGAGACTTCCTAACAGCAGTAGGGCTGCTAAAGGGCCAAGGATTGCACAGGCTTACTGCTCAGGAGAAAGGACAGGTAGACAAAATTGTCCAGGTTCATTCTGCCCAGCAGGTTGGGAACTTTCACAATCTTCAGGAACTCCAGCTCCCTGGCTGGCTGCAGAGCTCCAAGGACCCCCTCAATGATATGCAGCCTACTGCGCCTTTCTCCCAGGCAGCACCACCTGGCTCCCAAACCATCAAACCATACCCTGGCATTAGGCTGACCAGAGGAAAGCCCTGTCTACAGCAACTACAAATGCAAAGCATAGAGGCTTATACCTGTGTGCTTGGCCCACTGGTCCTGGCAGTGGAGACAGGCATAGCAGCCAGGAAGCAGGAAACAGCTCTTTCCTCCCCCAGGCACCAACACTGCTCCCCTGCGACCCCCAACATTGCTTCAGGAACTGAGCAGCTCCAGAGAGTAGAGCTTTTGGGCACTAGAGAGTGCCATATACAAATATGAAACACCAAAGGAATCTTGTTTAGAGTAAAATTATGAATATTAATACAACCCCTGAGAAAGATTAAAATGAAATCAACCTCATGAATCTGCCTGAAAGGGATTTCAAAATAAAAATCATTAACATGCTCATGGAGGTACAGAAAAATATTCAAGAACTCAGGGAGGAATTCTGGTTGGAGATCCAATCATTATGGAACACAGTATCAGACATGAAACATACAATGGAAAGTTTTAAAAGCAGATTAGATATGGTGGAGGAGATGATAAGTGAAATAGAATTAAGAGAAGAAGAATACAAAGAAGCTGAGGCACAGAGAGAAAAAAGGATCTCTAAGAATGAAAGAATATTGAGAGATCTGTGTGACCAACCCAAATGGAACAATATTTGCATTATAGGGGTTCCAGAAGAAGAAGAAGATGAGAGAAAAAGGGACA